TACAATCTCTTTGGCTGTAGAAGGAGGAACAATTTTGTTTTTGTCAAGAATTAAATAAACTTAAAAGCAAAATTCTTCACTATTATCTTCCCACAATCAAAGCAGGTGGATGGTCTTCTTCCACTAGGCATTTGGAAAAGTTTTTTTCATCCTTAGGGTTTTAAACGGTTCCTTACTTTCTCATTATTTGCGTTTTTAATGTTGTTTTACAATTTTAATTACATGAAAATAAACTACTGAAGAATTAAAAAAGAAAAAAAACTGACAGTGTACATATGATCATTTTTAGCCACAATAATTATAACTACCAATCATATCCATAGAAAAAAGCCATTTTCCTGCTCAACACTTCAAAGGTTTGGATATGAATTTAAAGACTTGTATTAGTCAGAGTCTAATCAACACCATTTGAAAAGATTGATGAAAGAACACGTCATTTTCCTTATAGACTTATAATATTAGAGATCAATGAAATAGTTTAAACCTCAAATTTGACGTGTTAAGTATTATTAAACTAATTTAGTGTTAAATTCTCAACAATATTTTTTTGTCGGAAATTTTTAACATTATACATTCTAATATATGTAAGATATTTAATAATTTTGTTGGAAAATCTACGAGGTAAAAAAAGACCATACGTGACGACAAAACAGACCAAAAGCCAAAGAAGGAGAAAGACAATTAGACCATGTCCATCAGCGGTTTTATAGAGGTTCATGGCCCAGTTTTTTAGGTAGAAACCATTTAAAAAAAAAAGAAAAATGGTCTAATTTTGACAAACCGACTAGGGCTGGGCGTTCGGTTAACCGATCGGTTTCGGGTCGGGTTATTCGGTTTTTCAGATTTTCGGGTTTAGATTTTGAAAACCATTCGGGTATTTGAAAGATTTCAGTTCGGTTCGGGGTTTGTCGGATTCGGGTCGGTTTGGATAATAATTTTGGAAACCGAAAATAAACCAAAAAAATTCGGTTTCGGTTTAATCGGTTTAAAATTTCTATGTAAACCCGAAAAATCCGAAAAAACCGAATTATTACAAAGAGAAACCGAAACATGTTTTAACAAAATCATAACTTCAAAGTCTTCAATTTAGAACTTGAGTGACAATCTCCCAAAATATCCATAGTACGTTCAAATTTTTAAAAATGAAAGCTAAAATCAACAAACTCCAAACCAATACATGCTTAGTTCATACTAAAAGAAACAATACCAAAAAAAAAGAACTAGAAGAATTCTGCCCTGAACTCTAGTCTCCAACTCGTGAACTCCAAAACAAGTCTAAGATGCATCTGAAGAAACAAAAACCGATCACAACTAATGTAAAAACAAAAAAAAAATGACATAAGAGAACAAAACCATAATAACAATTTGATATTACTTACACATGGTTGATGGTAGAAGACTTGAAGTGATTGTGATATTGAGATTCAGTCTTCTTTTTCTATTGGATTTTCATACTCAAACTCTAGACATACAAATGAACAAGGAAAAAAAAAAGTTAAAACATCTCAAGTGATAAATGAATACAAATAAACAGAGATAACCTCAACATACCTTTCATCAGCTTGTCCAAATACTCATATTCAGAAATGATTTGCTCTTTCTTCACCAAGCCAGATTCACTCTTAAACCGAATTTCCTGCTTCATCCACTGCTCTGTACACATCAATACCTCCACCATATAATGTGTAAGACAGCTTCTATATGGAGTTATAATTCGTCCACTAGTGCTAAAAGCACTCTCAGAAGCGACGGAGGACACTTGCATTGCCAAAACATCTTTAGCCATTTGTGAAAGTATAGGATACTTAGAACTGCTTGTCTTCCACCAGTCTAGGACGTCATACTCTACACCAGCTATTGTGTCAGAAACCTCAATACTCTCCTTAAGATATCTATCTAACTCGTCCCTTGTATCATTCACTCTGGTCTCTGCAACCATCTCCTTGTAAATCGAATCCATCCTCTCATATCCAAGCCCCAAATCATCGTCCATCACTTCCATTCTGTCCTGTGATTGTGAGTGCTCTGATGATTGTGCCTGGGAGGATTGCGTGTTTGGACTTTTCTCATACCTAGAACTATACTCATCATACATTGCTCGGAGAACAATAAGGACATAAGCATTGAGCTCTTTCGCATCTTTGCTGCCTTCGCCGTAGAGTCTCACAAAACACATATTAGCTAAGTCCATTTTTTTCCTTGGATCAAACACTGATGCTATTATAAGAATCTTGTTCAAACCCTTCATTCCATCCCAATACTTGTCAAATTTCAGCAACATTACTTTAGCCTTTGCTGCCAAATCTTTATCTATACTATGCGTGAGGTTCATCAATGTTTTCTGGATAGTGACTATTTCCCCATAACACTTATATGAGTTCAAAGTGGTCGAAGCTGAGACTACAAGAGTAGCATCATAGAAGACAACCAGAAAACGTACTAACCTCTCAACATTATCCCAGTCAATTGCAGAAGGAGGTCCAACTCTTTTGTTCTCATTAACTCCTCCGTAAAGTGATCAATATATAACTTGTCCTCCCTGGACATCTTATCAAATGCAACCCTATACTCCAAAGCCTTCTTAAGCATTGTGTAAGTAGAATTCCATCTAGTTTTACAATCCAATGGCAAGCTTCCCCGTGTCATCTTACTGGAGTCTACTCTGAGTTCAAACGAACTTAACCTAGTCGTTTTCGATCTAACATAGCAGATTGCATTGCGGATTGCACTCACACTGTTATCTATTTCAGTTAGACCATCGTTCACAATCAGATTGATAATATGAGCACAACACCTAACGTGAAAATAGTCACCACCCAACACAAATGCATCTGGACTTCCTAACCTAAATTCAGACGTAAACCGCCTAAGAGCAGAAGAGTTGGCCGTTGCATTATCAACTGTTGTAGAGAAGACCTTATCTATACCCCATTCAGCTAGACAGTCTAAGAGAACAGAGGAGATTGTCGAACCTTTGTGATCTTGAACATGCTTGAACCCGATGATGAACTTTTTTAGCCTCCAAAACATGTCCACAAAATGAACTGTAATCACCATATAGCTAGCACCTGTTCAATAGAAAAGAGAAAGAGATGTTACTCTAGAATGATAAAAAAAACGATGTTACATTTTCAAACAAACAAAAAGATGATTGCACTTTAATAAAAAAAAAATACCTGTGGGTTCAGCCACCCATATGTCTGTTGTCAAGGATACACGTTGCTTGTTTGCTATAAAAATCTCCTTCAGAGCTCTTCTCCTAGTCACGTACATTTTCACAATGTTCCTAGTAGCCGTCCTCCTCGATTGAGGCGTGTAGAGTTTGCATTTTTCGCAGAAATGCTTCCAAGCCATGCAATCAACAAAACTTAGTGGTAACTCCGCAAGCACAAGCATCTCCTCCGTTGCTTCCCTGAATACTGCCTCAGATACTCTCGCAACACCTAGACCACCAGAAGTATTCAGTACACTCTGAGATTGTCCGTGACGTTGTATCTGACCAACTCTCCATGCTAGGAAGTGCTTGCAGATTGTAAGATGGTTCTTCAAACTCGAGGTCCCTGATGCTGTCTTACACTTAAAGACCTTGTGACAGTAGTTGCAAGTGCACCTGTCTCGGTCTTCTTTAGTCCTCGTGTAGTGCTGCCAAACTTCAGACCGAGGATCAAGAAGCTTCATCGGCTTCGGTGGCTGAGAAGCTGCGTCTTTTTCCATTTGCTTTCTCTTTCCACGACTCGCAGGTGTCGTAATCTCTTCTTCATCAACATCTATGTATGGACCATGCATGCACTCTCCGTCGGTGTTAAATGTTGTTGGTTCAGATGATGAACCCATCTAAGAAAAATAAACCATAACTCCATCAGTTAGTCATCAAAACAAACATATAGAATATAGAATCTATGATCGATACAAGGAGTCCAAAGAAACCGAACCACAACAACATAAGCAACAAAAAAAGCATATTTCAAATCTATAGTTATACTGAAATTCAAATACATCACAACGTAAGCAACAAAAAGAACTTTCCAAGGAATTAGAAAAAATAGAGCACAAATTGTTACTTCAATATTTTAAGTCGATAGCTATAAAAAGCTTAACAAGCACATGGATTTGTTTAAATTGATTTTAAGTCAATAACTCAAAGAAGAAATCAAAGAAACATCGTTGTAAAATTTCACACATCAAACCAGCTGTAAGGCAGTAAGAGAAAGCAAGAGCAGCTGTTTTCCATGTGCAAACAAACGGACCAATAACATGAGGAAACAAACAAGAACTCAAAGAAAAAAAATGAAAAAATATCTCCCAAAACTATACACCAAAGACAACAACATGTACGAGCTAGAGAAGCTTGGAGAATCCAAAAACAAAAAACACATCAAACACTTGAAGAATCAGCTAACTTTAATCGGAAAATAAAAAACTTGAAGAATCAAATCAGCTAATTTGAATCCAAAACGAATTCAACAACAACAAACATGAAAAAAAAGATGGGAATAGAGAAAATCACCTGAGATTGAATTCTAGACGATTCAGAATTCGGAGAGAAAGGGTTTTGAGCTTGAGACTCCAGATTGAAATATTATTTATCCCCAAATCGATTTTAGGGTTTGAGAGAATATCGGGCAAGTTTGAGAGAATATTGGGGAAGAAAATATCTGAATCATCGGGTTTAATTTATGTTTTCGATCTCAAATTTTGAAGAATGGAATTTCGGTTTAATTTCGGATTTTGTTCGGTTTTTGAATTTAATCCGAATCGAACCGAAAACCGGAAGATATCAAAACTAAAATTCATTCGGTTATTTCACCTAAACCAAACCCGATCCGAACCCGAATTTTCGGTTCGGTTTCGGATAAAAAATTCGATTCCAGGTTATGTGTCCAGCCCTAGAACCGACTCGTCCTGAAGAGGCTGATGATACCGCCTCTTAACCACGTGTAGTTTTGTGATTGGGCGAAAAAGAGTTGTGTTTGGGGGATAAATTTTTTTTTTGCATCTCATTCCTCTTTTCACCCGACTCTCTCCTCTCTTCCTCTTCTCTTCCTCGAGGAATTTTCTGATTTCTCGCTCTCTTCTTCTGCTCGAAAGATTCGTCGTCTCGTAATTCATCTTAATCCTTTTCTCTCTTTTCTTAATTGATCGTTATCCTTACGAGATTCTGTTTTGGATGCATCAGGATGAAATTTCCACCGATAATCGAGGAAGAGGAAACATATGTGGCGATGCAAGAGACGAGTGCGGAGGACGAACACGAGCCTGCACCTGTAAACGAAGAGAGAACCATTGTTCTATTCATGCCTCTCCATTATCATCAGCCTCCTTCTGGGCAACTCTATGTTGATAGAGACTTGATCTCTGGCTTTAACAGTAAGTTTCATAAAACTTTAATCAAATTGTTCTCTTTGGGGTTGTGTTATGAGCTTAGAAATAAGTATAAGAATGTGGTTAAAGTGAATATGAGAAGATATTTTAAGATAGGTTTCAGCAAAATTAATCTTATAACATATATCAATTTGGTATCTTTAGAGATGATATTAGAAGTTATTTGGGAGTGATGAAGTTTATTCGACAATGAGATAAGTTATGCACCTGCAGACCGTGCTCACGCCGTTGGTGTGGACTTAGTGACTTTTGATGAAGCTCTTGGAACCGCTGACTTCATTTCTTTACACATGCCTCTTACACCCACGACATCGAAGATGCTCAACGACGAAACTTTCAGAAAGATGAAAAAAAGAGTTCGGGTAGTGAACGTTGCTCGTGGAGGTGTCATCGATGAGGACAGTGAGAGCTTTAGATTCTGGTATCGTTGCTCAGGCTGCTCTTGATGTTTTCACTAAAGAACCGCCGGCTAAAGACAGCAAGCTGGTGCAGCACGAGAGGGTTACGGTCACACCTCATCTTGGTGCAAGTACCATGGAGGCTCAGCTTTGGTCCTGCGTTTGTATCAACAATTTAACTGACGTGTTTTGTTATGTGAATTACTATGTTCGACAGTGACAAGAAGGAGTTGCTAGCAATGCCTTCTCTTGTTGATATTAGTGTACCTAGTGGCAAGCATTTCACGGTCTGTAGTGATGTTCATGGTCAGGTAGGCTTTGGTTTCACTCACTCTCCCCACATTACTTTTTATCTCAAGTAATTCTGAGAGGCTTGAGTTTTCTTCTTTATACATGCTTGAGGTTGCAATAAACCCGGCACATACTAACCGAGTCCCTAGCTGGTTGGTTCAATGATTTCTTGAACATAATCTTCTTGTCTTCACCAATGGTGGCGATGAAGATTGCAGTGTTCTTGGACAACACTTTGGATTATAAAGACAGCACCATTATAAAGACTACAATCTTCCTTTCAACCTAAACCATTTCTTCCCTCCTTCATAAGTTTTAAATTTTATGTAATAAATTGTAATCTTGGTTTATAATAAATATATGATTAAATTTATTAGCAAAATAAAAATTTTTGCATTTAAAAAAAAAAAAATAATTTTTTTTATTTAATATGAACCCTTTTAAGGGTTCACCAATGGAACACCAAAATAAGCATAAGTTCATCTCTTCTCTTAAATCCTAAAAATAATAATATAAAATTCTAATGAACCTCTCTAAGAGGTTTACTAATGTAGATGCTTTTAGATAAGACCATGTTTATCAATGGTTTCTATGTGAGTTTCTATCATTTTTTAGTATTTTTTTAATTCAAAAAACGTGCTTAAGAAGGAGGATCGATCCTAAATTTAGGATTAAGAGGATCGATCCCTCTTTGTGACGTGGCTACTTTTCATTGGTTAATGAAGAAAGAGAAAAAAATGTGGTGCAAAATTTTTTTTGGTGAAAATCATTCTTCTTCTTGCCTGAAAAAAAATAACCCACAAGCCTTTGTCGATGCGATTTCTTTCGCCATGTTCATCTGTCATTGGCGATGACCGTCATCCGGCAGAGTAATCGGCTAACCGGCGGCGTCTTCTATTCCAATCGCGGCCTGAAATCGCATCATCGCTGGTGTCTTTTGGTCGACGAACTCTCGTGAAATCGCGTCACCACAACAATCTTGGGCTGCATCGAATCGACAAAAAAGGTTAAGTACAAACCAGTCTAATCTATTTTGTTGTCGTAGTGATGTTTCTCACCTGTAAATCGATTTGGGCATAGTTTATAGATGTTTTGATTTGGGTTTTTGATGTAGTTTGTTTTAATCCTTGCATGCATATGAAATGGTTATAGATGTTTATAATCGATTATTTGTTGAGATGATTTGGTTTTAGGTGTTGTGATTTGAGATTGATATGGATCGATGGTTGTCGAAATGATATGTATTCGATTATTGCTTCAGATGTCCAGATTTTGTTATTGCTTGAGCTTGATTCATGCTCGAGGTTATTGCTTGACTATTGGTTGAGCTTTTTGCACATTGAAAACTTATGAGTTTGATGGTGATTGAGTTTGATATGAGTTTTTGCTTATGAGTTTTTGATATGATATGAGTTGAGCTTATTGCACATTGAAAACTTATGAGTTTTTGATATGAGTTAACAAACTTATGAGTTTGAAAACTTATGTTATTGCTTGAGCTTTATATGACTTTGATATGGTTCGATTGTTTGAGAGTCATAGGGTTTAGATGATTGAGTTTGTTAACATGAAAAGAAGTCATATGTCTCGGTTGTTGTTATACTTGACTATTGGTTCTGATATTTTATTTGTTTGTTTGAAGCTTTGGTTGCAGGATACCTCTTTATGTCTTTAAATACACCAGAGTCATGTCCTCCAGTCCAGCCAATATATCAGGTTAGTTTTTGTAAATGCGTTTAGGTTTGTCTAGGTTTGGGTAGTTTAATGGTTAGGTTGACAATAATAAATGTCAAATGGTAGTTTATCGGTTAGTTAGGTTGTAATTGGATTAGGAAAAGCTGGTTAGACTGAGCTGCATATCGACATGAATGCTTGTCATGTCGATATGGTTGTGGGTGTTGAATGCAGTTGTTTTCTTTTTGCATATCCTTCTTCTCAATTGTACTTAAAGGAACCTTGAGGCCACTTTCTTTTGTATCTCCGATCATTCAAAGCAAAAGATCATCTCTTCTTCTTTGTTCTCTATCATCTTCTTTGTCGTTCTTCCTCTCTATCTTCTCTTTCTGGATATGTCTTCATATCCTTTCAGCCAGTCTTCTCCTTTCCTTGACCTGTTGAACAGTCAACAGCCACTAGAATCTTCGCAGCCTCCGGTCTTCTGTTCTCAAGGGTTTCATGGAGATTCAACCCTCGGTGAAGACAAGGAGAAGGAGAAGGAAACAAGCTCCAGGAGGGTGTGGATGCCGACTGAAGATGTGCTTCTGATTAGTTCGTGGCTCAACACATCGAAGGATCCTGTCATCGCAAACGAGCAGAGGTCAGGTACCTTTTGGAGGAGAATTGCTGACTACTTCAATGGAAGCCAAAAGCCATCAGAGAGTGTAAACCGTGAGCCCATTGCGTGTAAACAAAGGTGGCAGAAGATCAATGAAGCAGTTTGCAAATTTTGTGGTGCCTATGAAGCTGCAACAAGGCAGAGAACATCTGGCCAAAACGATAATGATGTTCTAAAGCTTGCACACGAGATTTACTACAATGACAATAAGAAGAGATTCACAATGGATCACGCCTGGAAGGAGCTCCGTAGTGATCAAAAATGGTGTGAACAGAACAGCTACAAATTCGATGGAGGTTCTAAACGACGAAGGGTTGAAGATGGAGCTCAGGCGGGTCCAGATGAAGAGGCCGACGAAGTGCAAGCAGTAAGCAGGCCTCCGGGTGTTAAGGCCTCAAAAGCCAAAGGGAAGAATGCAGGCTTTGTGATTGATGAGAAAGCTGTTTCCAGTTTTAATGATCTGTGGGGCATAAAGGAGAAGGAACTGGCCATAAAAGAGAGAATGTCGAAGATGTCATTACTTGACCGTCTCATCGCCAAGAACGAGTCCCTGGCAGAGTTTGAAGAAGCCATGAAGCAGAAGCTGATAACAGACTTGTTGAATGAATAATGTTTGTCATGTTTGGTTCAGGATTGTTCTTTGTGTCATGTTTGTTCGATTTGTCATATGATGTTTTAGTTATCTTTTTTACTTATCCCTTGTTGTATCAGTTTTTAAAACCCTTCATCTTTAATGAATCTAGCTGGTTTTACTTTAAATGTACTCTGTTTAGTTGTTGAGGATTTATGTTTGTTCTTTAAATGAAGTCTGTTTAGTGGTTGAGGGAAGCCTTCAATGAGAACTGATGTTTGTTTTAATGCATGTTTATGTTTTAATGTACTCTGTTTTAACAAGTCTGTCCCTTTTTTGTAGAATTGGTGTTTCATGTCTCCTCGAGACATGAAAAGACAAAGACATGAATACAGCTGCTTTTGGAGAATCTGCCCGTGACATAAGGAAACAAAGAGAAAGTTGCAAAGATAGCAGAAAAACTGTGTGGTCTATGGACCTTTGTAAATTTGGTGTAATATATTTTATGAATTTGACAGCCACAAATCTGAATACAACTTTGCATATAAATTTGACAAGCGAGCTCCATATAATTCACACCCAAAACATTTTCTTTTCCACCATCACTCCAAACGAATTCTCTATCCCAAGTCTGTTGTTTTTTTTCCTTCTTCTCACGATTTTCAGATTCATAAATCCATTTCTTTTCTTTGAGTCATGGCTTCCTCGTCTTCCAATAACAATTATGAGGAATCTGAAAACGACCCCTTTGATCAATTTTTCGAGCAAGCCTATACACAAAATTTTGATCAAGCTTTTAATCAAATTTATGATCAAACGTATGAAAATCTCTACAATGCTTATGTTGCTCAGCAGGAGACAAACAATCCAAGGAAGAAAAGAGCTTATATTGAAAGAAATCGGGAAGATGGCCACAACCGGTTGTGGAATGATTATTTCGCAGAAAATGCAACATATACCGATAATCTCTTCCGCCGGCGTTTTAGAATGAACAAGCCATTGTTCATGCAAATTGTTGAGAGGCTTAGCAATGAAATTCCCTATTTTCAACAGAGGAATGATGCTTCCGGAAGACCTGGTCTCTCAGCACTTCAGAAGTGTACAGAAGCTATCCGTCTCTTGGCGTATGGTACTGCTTTTGATACGGTTGATGAGTATCTCCGTCTAGGTGCAACTACGGCTCGTAAATGTTTGGAACATTTTGTAGAAGGAGTAATTTTTCTGTTTGGGGATGAGTATCTAAGACGACCCACTCCAGAAGATCTTCGAAGACTACTTGTTGTTGGAGAGTCGAGAGGGTTTCCCGGGATGATAGGAAGCATTGATTGCATGCATTGGGAATGGAAGAATTGTCCCACGGCTTGGAAAGGACAATATACTCGTGGTTCTGGCAAACCCACCATCGTTTTAGAGGCTGTAGCCTCATATGATCTCTGGATATGGCATGCATTTTTCGGACCTCCAGGTACTCTAAACGATTTAAATGTTCTTGAACACTCACCGGTTTTTGATGATATCATCAACGGTCACGCTCCAAAAGTAATTTTTTCTGTCAACGGAAGGGAGTACCATATGGCTTACTATCTCACAGATGGAATTTATCCAAACTGGGCTACATTTATTCAATCCATAAAAATTCCCCAGGGTCAAAAAGCAAAATGCTTTGCTACCAATCAAGAAAGCGTTCAGAAAGATGTGGAGTGTGCTTTTGGAGTACTGCAAGCTCGCTTTGCCATTATTAAAAATCCTGCTTTTTGTTGGGATAAAGCCAAAATTGGAAAGATTATGAGAGCATGCATCATTCTACACAACATGATAGTAGAGGATGAACGAGATGGATTCACGCTACGTAATGTCTCTGAATTTCAACAAGGAGATGAAAACGGAAATGCACAAGTGGATCAAGATTATTCTACATACATGCCTACAAATATTGCTAATATGTTCGATGCTCGGAATAGAATTCGGGATAATCATATTCATGCCCAATTGAAAAAGGATTTGGTTGAACACATATGGCAAAAATTTGGATAATATTAAAATTAAGTTTTATTGTTAAATTTGTGTTGTTTCATATTTTATAAATATTGTATTAAGTTTGTCTTGTTTTCAATTTTTAAAAATGTAATATTATTAGTTTCTTTTCAAATAATTGTTTTTTTTACATTTAACAAAAAAATAGGAAACTCATCTTAATTGGACATCTTAGTTTCTCCAATGCACATAAAAAAACTTAAGTTTTTAATTAAATTTCTACTTCCAATTTTAATAATAAACTATTTAAGTAGAAACCACAAGGGTTTCTCTGATAATCATACTTTAAGAAGCTACCTCCGAATCATATGACACGTGGCAAGTTCTCTATCTATAGCCGTCAATCTTTAAAAAGCAAAACAAGGGACCCACCTCTCGCTAATATGCAAAACACACCCGCGTGTCCGCCAACGAATCACCCACGTATTCAAAATCATTTAAAGCAAATGACAAAAATAGCCTCCTATGTAAAGACAAATACGATGGGCCAATTTGAGTATTTTCTAGAAATTCAACTTTCTTTTCCAAGTCTCTATAAAAAAACAAAACACGAGATAGCGCGTGTCTCTTCAATCGCGTCCTTTTCGCGATTTTCAGATCTTCAAAATCAAATTCGTTACTCTTGTTTCGTCTCCAGGGTTTATTGATTTCTAGATAATTCTTGTTTTTTTTGTGATCTCCTTCAGTTTCGGTTTTGTGATTGGGTGTTCAGTTTTTGGATGGTGGAAATGATGAAATCGAGGAATCTCAGACCGGAGGCTGAACCGGCGTCGAAGTTTCCGGTGAAGTTGGAGATCGTCGAGGATTTTCTTGACGAAGAACACAGTCCTCCCAACAAGCGATCTAGGGTTTGTTTCCTCAGCTTAATCAAATAAGCTGATTCTGATCACCAATTCTTTTGTTAAAAACGTGTTTGCGTAGTTTCTAAGCAGCTAAGAAACATTTTAGTAATTTAACCACTTGTCTCCTAAAGATTCAATTTTGCGTTTGGGTTTATCTTACGATATTATTTTGTATGTTTTCTTTGTTGTTCTTCAATTGCTGAATTGGAGTTTTTGTTTATTCGATTTGAAACGAATCAGCTATGGAGCAATAATGGAACAAGCGTCTCTCTTATGAAATTTAACCTACTTGATGAGCCAAGTCCTCTGGGACTGAGCCTAAGGAAGAGCCCGTCTTTGCAAGATCTGATTCAGACAAGACTTTCTCAAAGTGTTGCAGTTGGTTCTGTTGTTAAGAAAGAAAGTCTATGTAATGCTTCCTCTGTTGTAGGAACCGTTGAGAAGCTCAAAGCTTCCAACTTTCCTGCTTCCGTTCTGAGGATTGGTCAATGGGAGGTTAGTTATTCAAAAAAAAAAATTGTTTTTTAGTCTGTTTGGATTTGGAACCAGAGTTTGACTTGGTTCTGTTTTTGTTTGTTAGTATAAATCGAGGTATGAAGGTGATTTGGTAGCGAAATGTTACTTTGCAAAACACAAACTTGTATGGGAAGTGTTGGAACAAGGACTTAAGAGCAAAATCGAGATTCAATGGTCAGATATTATGGCTTTGAAAGGAAATTGTCCGGAAGATGAACCTGGAACGTTGACTATCGTGGTATAAAACGCATTCTCGTGATCGTTTCATTCTCAAAGACCAAAAGATAACCAAGTTTTTGATTTATATATCTTCATCTTGTTTGTTTCAGCTGGCAAGGCGGCCGTTATTTTTCAGGGAAACTAATCCACAGCCTAGAAAGCATACTCTGTGGCAGGCAACATCAGATTTTACTGATGGTCAAGCCAGCATGAACAAGTAAGAACCATATCTTGTATCCTAGTTTCTAATTATAGACTTGAGCTGTGATTTGCATATATAGATAACTTACGACTTCAAATGACAATGGTTTCTGCTTTTATTTGATGTGGTATGGTAGGCAACATTTTCTGCAATGTTCACCAGGGATATTGAACAAACATTTCGAGAAGCTTGTCCAATGTGATCATCGTCTCTTCTGTCTAAGCCGACAGCCAGAGATAAATCCAGACTCACCTTTCTTTGATTCACGACAATCTATATTTGAGGATCCTTCAGTGTCTGGATCTCAGAATTTGGCATCTCCTGTTGGAGCTCAGTCATCATCAGAACATGTGTCCCTGTCTCATGACGCACTGTCGCCAAGTTCAGGTATATATTGCTCTTTTCTTGTGCTCATAGGTCATTGTACAGCCAAACTAAGATTGTGGATACTCGTTTTCTTCTTAAATTTAGTGATGGATACTCGTGCGATCGAAGGAGTTGGTGCTTCCTCCATTAACTCAAGAAATACAACGGATTGGAATATAAAAGTGCCTGGACTACACCAATCTATATCGATGAACGATCTCCTTACACTTCTGTCAGATCAAGCTAACCCGGAATTTGAAGAAATGAAACAGTTGTTGTTAAGTGACACGCATCCCGAAAACAACACATCGGATGAGAAGTCTGTCATGTCAAAGGTGAATTCTTTCTACAATCTCTTGCAATCTGCTGCAAACACAAACGATGGGAAAGAGACTGGAGTCGAAGGCAATAATAGAGTTCTTGATCCTGCTTCTTCAAGCAGCAAGACGCAAGGCATGTCAAGGAAAGACTCGTTCACTGATTTGTTAGTACACCTTCCTCGGATCACTTCCCTACCAAAGTTCTTGTTCAACATTTCAGAAGAAGACGGTGATGTCCATACTGGATAACAATAACGGTTCGAAACTACCATCGCCATATATAAATTATTCAGTTTTGTGGTGACAAACAAGTATAGGAAGCTTGAGAACAAGTAGCTGTAAATTAAAAGTTTTTCTCTGTGGGTAACCAAGAGAATTTGTGCTCTTGTTTGCAAGTGTTGAAACTTTAAAGAACCCAAACACGAGGATTTGGATGAACTTTGTGTTTGATGATGAATCCTTGTACAGAAATGTGTTTATTATGGCGTTTTTTTTCTAAAGCCAATTTGTTTGAAACATTGAGTAAACTTCAGTATTTACCTATACGTGATCTGGCCTTGCTTTCTCAGATTTCTCAAACTAATCTTCTTTCAAGAATTAACAAATGAGCGAAACGATTGCTGAAGAAGATTGGAAAGTCTATGTAAAACACAGAGACTTTTTGATCTTTGTTGGGCTCAAATAAAATAATGGGCCAACCCATTTACTATTATTACAGATTCCTTCTCTCAGCTCAAGTTGCGCGCTTAGGGTTTCTTCTTCTTCCACAAGCGGATTAGGTTTAGGGGTTCACTTTCGACACTGTAGCTACCTCAACAATGGCGGAGCAGGTTTCTAATCTCTCTCTCTCTCTCTCTCTCTCTCTCTCTCTCTCTCTCTCTCTCTCTCTCTCTCATTTCCTCTTCTACTTTTTTATCATTTGAAAAAAAAAAATTAAATTTCTTGAATTCTTCGATCTCTGTGATTTTCGATTATAATTGTTTTTCTGCTTCCTATGTTGGATTCATGTGTGACAGACGGAAAAGGCGTTTCTGAAACAACCAAAAGTCTTCTTATGAGTAAAAACTGTCACGAAACCTCATTTTGGATTGCAGATTTCAACAATTTTTAGAGTCTATTCCCTTACAAGTTCATCATTGGATTATGTTGCAGCTCGAAGAAATCTGGTAA